CAGAGGCAGATATGCAATGTGAGTGGCCCTGATCTGGCATCTCGTTTACAATCGCTCTCTCACAGACTTGCCGTCACCCCCCCCCCTCTGTCTCTTCTACAAATTCTTTCACGGTATCTGCTCCGACGAGCTACTTTCGCTGGTTCCCAAACTGCATGAATTTAAGCGTTCTATTAGGTTGGCATCTCAATCCCACCCTTTCACTGTCGAAACGGTTAAATGTAGTCGTCTCCTCTACTCCAATAGCTTCATGTCTCGCACTTCTCGTCTGTGGAATTCCCTTTTTCTTGCTTCTCTGATAGCTATAATCTCCAAATATTCAAATGCATTGTCAATCGACATCTCTAGATGCCTTGATCTATTTCCCGATCTTCTCTTCATCCTTTTCTCTATCACACCTCTTTATTCTTTCTCCCACTGTCTGTTTTGCTTGAGGTAAAATGCTTAGAAAAACTACTTTTAGCAAAATAAAATCCTTACATTTGTCTTGATAAAGTCCATCAGAGGACAAAACGCGTTAGTAAAGAACGAGGATGAGGAGATTAGTTAACCACTGAGAGTAGGTTGTTCGTGTTCAGGAAAGCATCCACGCGAGTGTTTGATCCACAAAATAGCTGTGCTTTGGGAAAAGCAATCTGAGTGACTCCTTCTTATGTTATGAAGGCAAATATTTCCCTACAAGTTTGGACTCAGCCGTCGGACAAAAGATATAAAAATACTCCTACATCAAGAGGAGTATCAGGAGGAGCAGTAGCAGCAGTAGTCTTTGCTAAAAAAAACAGTTAATTATTCACGGATAAATATAATTTTCCCTAGTGTCTATTCTACGTTATGTTTCACAACCTTTGCGATCGTCAAACAAACTAACAAATATGTTAGCTGTATCTTTGATATTGAGCGCTTTCTAATAAGTACAGCGCATGTATAATATATAAATAATATATATAAAAATTGCATATATATATATTTATATACATATACATTATATATATATATATATATATATATATATATATATGTGTGTGTGTGTGTTTATGTATTCGTAAAGCAATTACGTTTTACAAGAACGGATATAAAAACAAATGTAAGTTAAATTTATTTAAAGATTATTTATCAGAAATGTAATCTCCTTCATACATTTTCAAATTTGTAGGGAGCAAAATCCGATGAGTATGGAGGATGTGTAAGAACCTCCCATTTTAACTATCTTGTTTTTTCTTGAGTTTGTTTTGTAGAGCATACCCTTGTATTGTCATGATAACATCTTTTCTGTTTACCAAAACAGAACACGCTTTCGGCATAATAATTCGCAAACCAGTTAAAGCTGCTGACAATAAACGCCTGTCGGGATGGTCAACGCCTGCAGGGATGGTCAACCCGTTTTGTATTAGTTTTTAAAGGACGACATATTCCACCAAACATTAAATAAGGACTTCAGTGAATGGAGTCATGGTTTTGGTTTCTCCTTTTGTCATGACTACTGACATTTTCGTTTTCCGTTCAAATGCAAAACTCATTTTTCATTACCCGTAAAAATGTGATAAAAAAAACCCTGAAAGTTAAGCACTTCTGGTTAGAAGATTATTTCAGGTGGTGAATGTTGCGTTCAATCGTCAATTTAAAGCTCACGAGGATGCCGAATTCAATCCTTTAAGTTTTTTACTGTCGGATCTATATCCATATATTTGCTTATATATATATATATATATATATATATATATATATGCACACTCCAAAAGTTTGTATCCGTTATCAATAACACATTTATAAAAAAACAAAACATTTCGATTCGCACTATAATTTATCGTCTCGGATGCTACCTGAATTTTACCAAAAACAAAATAATTTCCGTGCCCATGAAGATGACAGAATGTACAGTCGAATGTACTTGCGTATTTAAGAAAGACCTTATGCAGCTTATAATTAAAAAAAAAAAACAAGGACCATAAAATTCATCGAGTGATATATATATATATATATATATATATATATATATATATATATATAATTATTTATTTAAAATATGATTCCAACACGCTACATAAGAGGTCTCATGTTACCTAACAAGTTCTTTCCTATTTTCTATATATTTTCATATATATATATATATATATATATATATATATATATATATATGCGGGAAGTGTCAGGAAGACTACGTCGAAGCATGAAACAGACTGTCCCCGCTTGGTATTGACCTCAGTGTCCACTTTTAAATTTACATACGCTCCATCTCTGATATCACATTTACCCATAAATATAACAGATCTTAGAATTATATATATATATATATATATATATATATATATATATATATATATATATATATATATATATATATATATATATATATATAGTGTAACTAGGATATAAGAGACCCGGATATAAGAGAAACCCGGATATAAGAGAGATTTTCTCTGGTCCAAAATTAGAGCCTGTGTTAATGTATATAAAATAGACCAAACCCGGATATAAGAAACCCGGATATAAAAAGACGTCTTCTCCGGTCCCGGCAACTCTTTTATATCCGGGTTACACTGTATATACATATATATATATATATATATATATATATATATATATATATATATATATATATATATATATGTGTGTGTGTGTATGAGACAATTTTTTATATTTCAAGAACAATATTGGAGAAAAAATCTATGACAGTGAAAAATTTTCGTGTGATGCGTTTCGTCCTTAGGGACTTCATCGGAATAATTTTTTTTTATATTTGTGCGTTTAAATATGCGCACGAATGAGGGATGATGGGAATTTTCAATTGAATTTTTTCTTTAATATATAATGAAACCGATTTTATTTGAATTCTTTTTCCTTATGCTTCCATCACTTTCGTTATTAGATATCCCTTACTGGTAGATATTCTATTATAACAAAACCCAATAATAGTATAAATCTAAGAGTTCAGGCGGGGATGTTAGAAGTAGAATATATATCAAGTAAAAAGATATAAATTTGGAAGGACTCTTTATTTAATAATGGGTTTATTTCGTTATGATTATTATTGAATATATGATCTTCCAACATGAAGAAAAATATTCCTCTATCTGGAAGTGAGCGAGCAAATTATTGTTGAAAAATCCCGTAAGTTTTAATTTGTAGGAGTTTCTACAACATCTAAAAGGTGGCACCAAACTTTTGGTTTCTGTCTTTGTCTCCCCCCTCTCTCTTTCTCTTTATAGCTCTCTCTCCCTCTCTCTTTCTCTTTATAGCTCTTTCTCTCCTTATCTCTCTCTTTCTCGCTCTGTCTGTCTGTCTGTCTGCCTCTCTCTCTCTCTCTCTCTATATATATATATATATATATATATATAATTAATAAAAATCTAAAGTTTGTCACTTAGCTGATTGGTGTTATGTTCGTCCCAACTCCACAGTTTCGTAGAAAGACTCTCCAGCAATCACTCCATCCACTCGTCAGGATATATATACTTCATCTTTCCTTTCTTTTCTTTCCCTCCCTCTCTCACTCTCTCTTTCTCACTCTCTTCTCCCTCCCTTCCACCACTCTGTCTATTTTTCTTCACCCCCCCACAATTTTTTAAAACCTTATGTTGAAATTTTTATTTTTTATCTTTTAATATAAAAATGTTTTCTTTTTTTCTTTTTTCCTCTCCCTTTTCCTTTTGTCTGGACAAAGTGATTCTATTTATTTAAAAAAAAAAAAACTTCGCTCTGAAGAGATAAATATTTGAATATATTCATGAAATAAATTATAACCAAATAGATTTTTAAGGATCGTCTGTACTTATTAGGTGGCCTGACGATTGCGTCTGGCATGAAACAGCCTCTCGCCTTTTAAGTGTTGACTTCAATGTTCACTTATATATATATATATATTTATATATATATATATATATATATTAATAGCAGTACTTGTTTGGAACACCGCGGATAGCTCAACTTGCAGATATATCAGGACAAAACGGTATCCGAGGAAAAAATTGAAAATAAAAAAAAGAACTGAAAACATCAGAACAAGACGAAACAAATCGCGAAGTGCTTTAAGTCCTTACTCAAATGAAAAAAAAAAAACAAACGAGTAGAAAGACTAAAACGTAGAGTGCTCAATACTCTAAGTAGAGCGATAAACTAGAATAAATCCTAAGGAGCCAGGCAAACATATATATATATATATATATATATATATATATATATATATATATATATATATATATATATATTAGTTAGGTAATGAAGGGTTTGGTAATCCGTATGGATAATTCCAAAAGAGCTCAATGCAACACCAGAGCGAACATTAATTAAATAATTAAGAAAGAGATATATTTTTCTGGTGAAATAAATTATAGTCATAGAAGCTTCAGATTGTGTCTTTCTTAATTATTTATATAAATAAATTTTCATATAAATGTTGTATTGATAATGTTATATTTATGAATATGTCCTGAAGATGGTTTATTAGACCGAATCGTCCGACGTTGACATATTAACATTAAAACAGCATAATTGTATATAAGGATTTTTGTTTGTTTTTTCCGTATATATTTTTCTTCATATATATATATATATATATATAAAATGTCTGTGTGAATGGAAGTACATGTCTTGACTCACAGTTACTGATATTAAAATTTAACTATTTGCTTTCGGTGTGTTAACGTTCGATGCCAATTAGATAACTTTAGACGTCTCAGCTTTTTTCATTTTGCACTGACAATATTACTGACTTTTGTTATAGTGATTCGTTCATTAAAAGTTGCTAACTTGTTCCAAATGAGTTTGTAATTTCATTTACTTCAGTTTTGTCTTTACTATGAAAATCTCGAAGAAAATCTTGTTGAAAAGTAAGAGTGATAGTTGACGACGATGTTTGCGTACTCAGACAAAAGATTAATGGCGCCAAATGTCCTATGAGTTTTAGTTAATGGGTAGAATCCATTGGGTTAACCTCAGGGCATTTTAATCTTTGACATAAAGAGGCGCCATTAACCGTTTGTATTTAAACGCTGCTGTCAAATTTAAGAAAGAAAGAAGAAAATTAGAAAGGTGAAAAAAATCGAAGGAGAGAGAAATAGAATGAGAGGGTAAGGAAGTGGAAGAAAGAAATGAACAGAGAAGGGGGAAATTTGAAGAAAAAGGCAGGAACCGGAAGTGAAGCCATCAAGAATGAAGTTGGAGAGAAAGGTTAAATTGTTTGAAGAGGGAAAACGTGGTAAAAAAGAATGTTTAAAGGGAAGAAAGGGAGTGAAAGAGCAAGCGAAAAAAAGACGCGAAGAAGAAGAAGAAGAAGAAGAAGAAGAAGAAGAAGAGTTTAGCGATAAAATCAAATGAATCTACGGCCAGGAAAAAGTAAAAAAAAAACAAAAAAAAACGAAAGGGTAAGGTTGGAGAAGTCAAAGAAGAAAGAAAGATTAAAAATAATGAGAAAGAAAAAAAGCAAAGATTTAAAAAAGAAAGATAGAAACAAATATAAGAATTAAAAACAGGAAGAAAGAAAGAAAGACTGAAAGAAAGTAAGAAAAAAAAAAGGAAAAATAGGAAACTAATATGAAAAAGATGAAGAATATTAGAAAAGGAAAGAATAATTTGAAAAAGAGGGAAATGTAAAGAGAGACAGACATTAGCTTTAGCCATGAAGGTTAGAATTGGTTGAATGTAGTTCATCTGAAATGGCGATAGAGACTTGCGACGTTTAGTCTTTGAGAACAGTGTTTTCAAACGCTTTTGGACTCTGGAAAGTGAAGACTGGGCAGCTCCTGCCCATATATGGTAGCAGTACTCCATTTTCGGTCTGATCTAGCTCTTTTAAAAGTAAAGGACCGCACGAGGAGTCAGGTACTTACTTGAGCGGTACAGGGAGCCGACCATTTTTCCAGCATCTTTAGTGATGGATCGTATGCACGAGTTCACAACTGGGGTTTGGGTTGAGCTTAAGTTGAATTCATTCTTTACTAAGAGCATTTGTATGAAAGTGAATGCAACAAACATGTCGGGAATATATAACGAAAACACCTAAATGAAATAGTATGTGTCATCCATTCTTATAAGTTTTCATAGGTCCTGAAAGAGCCTTCAAAATTAGCCTAATTTCAATAAAATGTTTTTTTTTTTAAAACGAATCTTTATATATATATATATATATATATATATATATATATATATATATATATATATATATATATAGACTCGTGGCTTGACGATTGCGCCTGTCGTCTCTAAGTGTTGACTTCAATGTTCACTTTTATATTTACACTCTATCTCTGATATTGAGCACTGTATCCCATAAATACACCTTAAAAGTATATTTTATCCCATAAATACACCTTGAAAGGATATTTCTTCACACACACACACACACACACACACACACGCACACACACACACATATATATATATATATATATATGTATATGTATGTATGTATGCCGGCAGAAAGAATTTGTAAAGTCTCTTAATCTGTTGGGGGATATTTTATTTTAACTGTCCCTCGCTAATTTATTTACACGATTATTTCCCCTCCCCTCGTTACAAATATATACACTTGTTTGTTTTTAGTGTGTTTTCCCCCTCTTTTTGCTCTTCATTGTCGTTAATATTCTTTTCGCTGATCCAACGATTGTCTCCTGATGAGATGTTGGTTGAAAGGGCCTTAGGGACTTTTAAAATTAAAATCAATACATTCCTTGTTTTTAAAACTATATGTATGTATGTATATAAGCTGCCTACTTATGTATTTCTTCTTTTTGATATTTCGCTGGAACAAAAACTAAGATCAAGTGAAAGAGGTTGATTATTTTATTCTTTAAATTTTAGCCTTCCATCAGCAGGGCTGATACTAAACTCCAGAAGAGGCCTTACGTTTTCCGCTGACATGAAATGAAAAGGTTTATATTGAATCAATTGCTTGGTCAACTGCTAGGGAGTTTCCTCCACTATACCGTGCGAGACAAATATCTTGCCAGCATCTATCTTATACACATTTATAAGTCTTCTATTCGTCCATACATTGAATATTGCTGTGACATCTGGTCTGGTGTTTCTCTTATGTATTTAGAGATTCTTGAGGGAGAGCTGAGTTCTAATTCTAGTTCGTTATATTCAATTATCCGCAAAGAGAAAAGCATAAATCCACCTCTTCTCGCCCCAGCTATGAGTTAAATAGCAGCACTTAATAGCTTCGAAAAAATATTACAGTCTAAAAATATTTGCTGGTTTTAAATAATCTGCAAATGGGATAAGCTATACTGATGTGGGGCCAAAGTCTAGACCACAGAAGTAAAACACGGAACACGGATTAGATGTAAGAAAGATATATTAATAACAGGTTACAGAGATAGTGTAAGCGGAGCTTACTATATGTTAGTGTCCAATATTGGTAGTCGTACGCGTGTCTCTGTCTCTCTGTGACTCTCTAGAGTGTTGTGTCGCATTCTTAATATGGACCTGGAAGAGTCTATTTTGTAGGTAGTTCCGGTCTCACAATATATACAAAACAAATCAATTAGAGGTACAGAGAATCTGCAATGTTATTAGTCCTGATCTGGCATTTCGGCTTCAGTCACTTTCGCAGCACCATAACATACCATCTCATGTGCCTTTTCTATAAATATTTTCTTGTTAATTGTTCTGATGAACTTTCTTCTTTGATACCTAGACTTTATGAATTTAAGCGCAAAACTAGATTGGCAGCAAGGTCTCATCATTTTAAAGTTGAAATTGCTAGATGCAAACGTAACTTCTATGCTAACAATTTTTTCTCTCGCATTTCTAGCTTATGGAACTCTCTTCCAACTTCTTGCTTTCCAGTCAAATTTGGTCTTCAAAAATTTAAATGCAATGTCAATCGTTATCTTGTCTTTGTGTTCTTTTGTTGTTTTTACTTCTCAATGGTTGTCTCTCTTTGTTCGCCTTCTCTCACACTCAGTAAAACGTTGCGTCTTAGTGGCTTTATTGTCTTGCCTGGAGTGTAATGATAAAAAATACGCTTTTTCATGAGAAAATATACGGATTTTTGTGTTCTTGAACATTGCAATAATAAAAATCATGGCAACAATGCCGGTTTCCGACTTGTCACATTTACAACATTTTCTTAAAGGAATAACTAAGCTAGCAGACTGAGCATGCATGTATGGCTTAGGAGGATCCGACTGGAATTGGTAAATAATAAGCATTTATTTCTTATTTTACCGAACTTGTTTAAAAAAAAAAAGTAGAAATAGTTATCAATTGATTTTGAGGATTGAAAGCCTCGTTACCATACACCGTTGAAAAGTCACTTATTTCTTATTTTACAGAACTTGTTTAAAAAAAAAGTAGAAATAGTTATCAATTAATTTTGAGGATTGTCACTGTGATTTTAAAGTCAATGCAGTTCATATGAAATGAGAATAAGTGAAGCAACTGCATTATCTGGGAAGAATGATCTGTTCTTAAAACATAAAAAAAACAAAAAAATAATTACATTCGATATTTAGAGAATAGTCTAAAAAACGATCGCATCATGGCGTAAACACACGCCGTTTTCTCTCTCAGTTTTTCACTAAGAAGGAAAAAAACCCTAATTTTTTGTTTCGATTCTAGACTGCGTCGGTGAGCACAACAAACTGGGAAATAGCCTAATGTACGTTCACAAGGAAATCGAATGGTTTCGTGTTCAGAAATTCCCTTCTTTTTGATTGATTGTCACCTCAAGGTACGAGATTTCTGTCTGCCCTGTTATTTAACTCATAGCTGGAGGAAGAATTGAGAATTGAACTCAGCACGGCGAGTTTACTTTCCTTGCCGATAACTATTAAAGTATCTGCGTTTATTACCCCATCACATAAGACGCGTGCCAAAAAAAAAAAAAAAAATTCTTTTGATTTCTTTTGCAAAAATAGAAACGGAATGCCTAAAACTGGTTTTAATGAAAAACGAAACAAAACTGAATTCCTTTTCACATATCTAATAAAAACATAAATGTCTGTCTGAATTTCTTGTAATATTATTTACATTATTTATATGCGAATTATTCTCCTAATCTTTGTTGTTGTTATTACAACGTTTCGGTTTGTGGGGCCCTCCGGTCTTCATCAGATGTATTTTAAATTTTAATTCAACTTATGGTACAGCAATTCATCATTTCATGAATTGATCATGCTTTCGTACCTAGTATAAGGACAATAAAAAAGAATAATTACTTTTCTTCAAACTAACTGACTTGCCCCGCCTTTATATATATATATATATATATATATATATATATATATATATATATATATATATATATATATATAAAATTTCTCCGATTTAATCGGTAGAGAAGACAATATTTATGAATAAAAATGACAATAGGAAAACTGGTAATTGCTAACGCGTTTCGTCCAATGTGAACTTTATCAAAGCAAAATTTTACCAGTTTTCCTATTGTCATTTTTATTCATAAATATATATATATATATATATATATATATATATATATATATATATATATATATATATATGTTACTCATATTTTAGATTGTTTCTTTTTTGTTAATTGTAAAAAATTCACGCATTACTTTTCAAAAGAAAAAAGAAGAAAAGGAAAGGCAAATATAAAGAAAAACATATAAGGAAAAAAAAAAGGGAACAAAGAAAAAGGAAAGAAAAAAGAAAAAAGTAAGGAATGAATATAATAAAAATAAAAAATAAAAAGGAAGAAAAGAAAGAGGAAAAAGAAAAAAGAAAAGGAAAAAGGGAACAAAGCAAAAAGAAAGAAAAAGGAAAGAAAAAGAAAAAGGTAAAAATGGAAAGCAAGAAAGAAAAAGCGAAGGAAAAAAGAAAACAAAAAAGGAAAGGAAAAAGAAAACAAAGAAAAAGAAAGAAAAAAGGACGAAAGAAAAAAAGAAAAAAAGAAAGAAAAAGAAATAGAAAGAAAAAAATGGGAAACTTTTATCCGTGTTTACCTTTCTTTTAATCCTGGCCTGCATGGCCACTTCCCGTTCTATCGTCTCGCCTGGAATGGCACTGGACTTAAGTTTCCAAATGACGATGGAATAGGCCAGCGTCATGACTAGCATGGGTATGATGTATAGTACGGTTGCCACGAACGTGTAATAGATTCGTCGAATAGTCGGGTACTGGAGGTTGGCGCCGCCTGGATTAGGCCATTTGTCGTTGCACCATTTCTCGACGTGATCCCGCCATTCTGTAGTATAGAGGTTACGGTAGACGAGGATGGGAGAGCCGACCGCAACGGCACATAACCACACGAAGAGGAGAGATTTCTGGGCACTCCGTTCTGTGATGTGCGCTTTCAGGGCGAATACGATTCCATAGAAACGGTCGAGGGCGATCAGGGAAAGTGTGAACACGCTCGCAACAAGGGAAACGACTGAGAAAAAGAAAGAGAGTAAAACATTTTATTAAAGCTTTAAAAAAGACATTATATATATATATATATATATATATATATATATATATATATATATATATATATATAAAATTTCTTACAATTAACAATAACACATTTCTAAAAACATATTTCGGATTACATCTCTTCTTTCGTTGTCCTGTTATTACCGAGAAGTAAAAAACAAAAACAAATCTATTTCCATACCTGATGATGTCTGTATGAACAGATGAAAGGTTGTAAAAAAACTAAAAAAAGACCTTATGCAACTGGAATTTATAAACGGGGATCATAACATTCATCTACAGGTTCGGGGTTAATGTACTTTATTAAATTTGTTTGCGAAGATGTATTCTCGCCATTTATATCATTAACATCTATATCTGTTTTTTGTATGAATGATTCATGTAATATATATATATATATATATTTATTAAAGACATTTTTATGTTTAACGTTCTTTTTTATAGATACAAATATTTAAGTAAATGCTCTGTTTATAATAAACAGTATTAAATAACATTTACCGGCCTGAATGTCCGAGAAATTTTTATAGAAAATATTCGTTCTTTGACAGGATTCGAACCTGCATCCTATACGGAACCGTCATTTACGCTGACGTGCCTTACCGTCTCGGCCACAAAGGAGCGTTCGGTAGGCAAGGTCGAATTTACTGCTTATAAACTTCAGTAAATTGTACACTCCGGCCTTCTTCAGGTGGTTGAAATGTCGAACTGCCATGTTTAATGGATGTCAGTTATCAGTTATCGCCCGTTAATTCCCCTCTGAAAGTTCTCCACTGCCTAAACCGGGTATTGAACTCACACTCTTTTGGTCCTGTCACTGGATCTAAATAACGCCTTTATCCACTGTGCCATATGGACATCTGTGTATGAATTTCTGGATATTATAAACCTAATGTCTTCAGCACCCATTTTCTTTATTATTGTAATAAATATGGCGACAAAGATGAGTTCAATAGTCCGAATAATATAAATAGTATAGAATCTACCACATTCAGTGAATTATATACACTGAAGTAAAATAAGGCTTTCAAAAGCTAAGCAAAGTATTAAGAAACAGGATATTTCGTTAGAAACAAAGAAAAGAAAAAAATAAGTTTATTTATGAGTTTAAACATGTTTGGTGAATATTTAAATGGTTTGTCTATTTCGTTATTTTTAACCGATCAATATTCAGTTGCAAAATTGGGGAAATTTAAGTTTTGTCTGAAATTCCTTGTACACTTTTTTTGTTTTTTTCGGTTTAGTTTTGATAGACTCAAAATACGATGAAGAGAAACGAAAATAGATGACAGGAATCTAGTCAAAATATTTGTAATGGTGAACTTATGTTGTCTCAAAATAACTCCATTCCAAAATCAATTCAGGTTAAGGCAAAAAAAATACCACTTGAAATAACTGTCTCAAGATTTTTTTACGTTGTGTGCTTTTCAGTTCAAACAAAAACCAAAAACCAAAATGGCGGTCGTGTTAATAAGCAAAGATACAATTTTGCAGACGGCTTCAGAGCATGACGATCACTCATTGGCGGATTTAAACAAATAGACGCCTTCTCGTTTATTTCATTCTCAGATTTTACCGTTAATTTGAATAACATATTCAAGAAATTAACGGTAAAAATCATTTGAACTTCTGCCCCCTTTAAAATTTCCCATAAAAAGCGAGAGTGTAAAAGAATGAAGGAAAATTTGAAAATTTCATCGTCTCTCGCTACCTATATATGCACGCTTGCTATTAGAAAATTCTTGAATCAGGAAGAAGGTGTTTTGTTTATTATTGTTCAATACAGTGGTTCGGATTGAGGAATCAGACAGTCGAGTTCCATTCGAATCCATTACATTCATTTAAGTTTCTATGGGTAAATAGCAGGACACACTTTGAATTTTTGCTTTACCCTGATTTTGAAATGCAATTATTTTGAGACAACGTGAGTTCCCCATTACAAATATTTTGACTAGTTGGATGGTAACTGGTCTACCGAAGAAAGAAATGACAACCTACTGCGGTGAAAAAAATCTGCCTCGTCAGTCATGTATTGAAAGATACATGATTGCCTAAGCGTGTATCACGCATAGCACATAACTAACTGATTGAAAAGAAAGGTGACAGTATAATTTGTATTATTTGTTAGAAAATCAAAAGAATAGATTAAGTGCGCGCATAACAAGCTTTTGATAGACGCACAAACGTAAATATGTTCTCCTCCGATCACAGAAGTTAAGCAACGTCGAGCCTAGTCAGTAACTAGATGGGTGACCACTCAGGAATACCAGGTGGTGTAAGCTTGGGTGTGCGGGTGATATAATGAATAACGGCTCGGAATGGGAAATCGGAGAGCCGAGTTCGAATTTCAGTCGGGTCCGTTATATTCTCTGACATGTAAATACCATTGGGAACGGTATGAATCCATCCCTTCTTCCCACAGCTATGGGTTAAATAGTAGGTTGATAAGTTGTAAAAAATATCTCAAACAAACAAACGTAAATATGAATAAAGACAAAAAGAAAAGTTAGCCGACGCGTTTCGTCAGCTGAGAGACTTTACCAAGGCAGAGGCAAAGATTTTATTTTCTAACAAGTATTTATAGAAAAAGCAAAATGTTATTGATTTTTCAAAATTTTTATCTTTAGGAACGGACATAATTATTCATCAGGTCGGTTGAAAAGTCAGGCAAACTATGGAGGACTCGAAGTGACACAATTAATATCTAATAAACGAAAGTGAGTAAATGATGTTCATGAATTTTTTTATGCAATGTATACATGAGACATTTGCTATGAATGGCTACCTACTAATTTTGTAGGATAAAATTATCCTCAGGTTGAAAAGGTATGTGAGTAAATATACCAAGCCAAGAAAACACTCGAAACTAATCAATATTTTCGGTTTCATCTATCTATCTATCTATCTATCTATCTATCTATCTATCTATCTATCTATCTATCTATCTTATTTTGTTCATATCTATCTATCTATCTATCTATCTATCTATCTATCTATCTATCTTATTCTGTTCATATCTATGTATCTCATTCTGTTCATATCTATCTATCTATCTATCTATCTATCTATCTATCTATCTATCTAATTTGATTGTGACATCTTTTATATTCGGTGTTGGAATCCCATAATCAAGAACATTATTATTATTATTATTATTATTATTATTATTATTATTATTATTATTATTATCAGCCGCGATAAAATTCCATTGTGAAATTAAATCATTTATTCTTTCTTAGCCAAAAATGTAATGGCGAATATTCGGTGGAATATTACGACTTTGTAAAATAAGACTAACCATTCACAGATATTGTGAAAAAGAAGTAAATTTACACCAATTACCACTGTGTTTGTCGAAAGAGTGAGTGAGAGAGAGAGAGAGAGAGAGAGAGAGAGAGAGAGACACATCAAACACTTCTGTAAACCTCCACTCGCTCAAATAAGCTGAAGAGAAACTACAATATTTTACTGAGAGAGGAACTTGATGTATTAAATCGTTATGCATTTCCCACAGGTACTAATGTTGGAGCCCAGATCATCAGTCTTCATAATTTTATTGCCTGGCAGATATATAGATAGATAGATAAATAGATAGATAGATAGATAAACGGATAGATAGATATGAATAAAAATAAATATATAAGTAGATAGATATGAACCGACTGAGATAGATACATGTGAATCAATTGAGATCGATAGATATGAACGGAATAAGATATATAGCGACCCTCTTATAGATAAAGTCCTGCTTTTACAGGAAAAACATCGACATGGAATTCAGATAGATAGATATGAACCGATTGAGATAGATAGATAGATAGATAGATAGATAGATAGATAGATAGATAGATATGGACTGGTTGAGATAGATATAAGCAGAAATAGATAGATATGAACAGAAATAAATCGATAAATAGATAGATATGAACTGATTGAGATAGATATGAACAGAAATAGATAGATAGATAGATAGATTGATAGATAGATAGATAGATAGATAGATAGATAGGGACCCTCCTATAGATAAAGTTTTGTTTTACAAAATTCAGGAAACTCATTAGCATGAAATTCAGACAGTTAGATATAAACAGATTTATATATATATATATATATATATATATATATATATATATATATAAGATAGATAGATAGATAGATAGATAGATAGATAGATAGATAGATAGATAGATAGATAATGAATATAGGTATATTTTATAGGTATAGATAGATAATTATCAGCTCTCCTATAGATAACGTTCTGCTTTTGTAAAAGTCACGAAACTCTTCGATTTAGAAATCCGTCTTAAAAATGGTCATCTTTCCTCAGCTTTCGCTAAAACCAAAAGTATGAACTGCCTTCTCTCTATCGTCAAGCTCTAACTGGTCTATGGCTTTACTTACTGAGGCAGCATCATTTACTCTGACGTCTGGGAAATAAGTAATAGATTGGTCATGTTTAATCAAACCTTTTTGGCTATACAGACTTATTTTAGAAAACTGAACCCCAAAAAAGACACGGATACCTTTCTATACGGTACTGTGTCTTAGACACAACCTGTCCCTACCAAATGCTTATATTAGTGTTGACGCTGCTCTTAAGAACGCATTAGCGTGAATCTGTCATTAACACTGCAATGTATTGTAGACGCCATATTTCAAAAGACCTAGATGTAGCGAGTTGGTTACTATGGAAATATGTTAAGCTTATTGTCTTTTAATAACCGCTCTATTCGAATGCTAGCCTTTGGCCAATAGAGAAGAAGAGTGTCCCAACCGAAGAGACATCTTGCAAAATAACCTCGTCTCCTGTGAAATCAACCACCTTTAGTGAGAAACAGAAGCAGGCGATCTGGTTGTGCAAGATATGTCAGAGAACATTTAAGGCGTAAAAATGTGGACAGGATATGCTGCTTTATATGGACGGAGTAACCACTAGACATCCTACTGCAGTCGACACGGAAAAAAAAGATTTTCTCTTCCGTATAGGTATCTCTAACTATATGGGAGCCTGCAACAAACGCGGAAGATTGTCGTGTTTTCCGTCATAAACTGTTACTCATCATCTGCAAAATGGTGACACCAATATCATTCCGTATATAATATAATCCGATTCTGAAGTCTCGAGTCACTTCTGCTCATCAAGTGTTGCAAACAATATTCCTAATCTAATTCTATAAAAACTCTTGTTTATTTTTCCAAATTGAATAAAGATTTTCTCCCGACGAGCTTGAATATTATATTAAGCGAAATTTACACTTCAGTATACCTTTGTCTTCTCACGCTTTCATACGAGAATTCGAAAGATTTAGCGATGTCTTATCGTCGTATAATCTCGTATCATGGCAAAGTAATGGATAGCGGCTCGGATTGAGGAATCTGAGAGCCGAGTTCGAATTCCAGTCGAATCCATTACTTTCACTTACGTGCTAATACCCTTGGGAAAGGTATGAATGCTCTTCTTCTCCCCCAGCTATGGATAAATAGCAGGACAGCTTCTATAGCCTTGGATGGCAACTTGTCTACCGCAGAAAGAAATGACAACCTACTACTGGAAAAAAATATCTGGCTCGTCAGTCATCTATCGAAATGATCGCCTAAGCGTGTATCAAGCATGGCACATAACTGACTGACTGACTATAATATTATCAGTATCATTTTCTATATGCAGTTTATATTACTACCCATGGATCGATTACTGATTTGATTTCATGAGAAATCACAATAAAGTCGGACTCAAACTATCTGGCAGATCAAATGAAACAAGTCATATTCGGCGTTAAATCAGGAACTAATTTAGGGAGCAGATCAAAAAGTTCGCAGACTAATTGTGAGGAACGAGAAGACGTACCTCTCACAAAGCGAATTTGCTTGGCGTGTCAGGTCCTGTTGAAAGATCGCAACCGGCATTAAAAAAGAAATGGATTATTCCGAAATATCCCATACCGCGTGCAGACGTACAAAGGAAAAAATAAAAAGTAAAAAAGCCTAAGTATTCAAACCAACTTGAATTTATAAAATCGGAAGTCTCGGGCGAACGAGAATTAAGTCTCGTATGCAAATTTTAGTTGCCCCCCTCCCCGACGCGGGCATAAGTTGAAAGTCTGGGAGGAAGACGGCAGAGCGCATTGTTGGCGTATTGTATATACATATTGGGGATTTTTTAACTTGTTTTATTCCCCACCCCACACGCGACGATTTGTACATTTGGGGTCATTTTAGGTTTTCATTGAGACAATGGGGAATTTTGGTGAATGTAGTAAGAAAGGTAAGTGAAAATGTGTTGTTTTGGTGCTAGGATTATTGTTTGTGTGTCTGGATAAGTGGTTGTGGCTAACTAAGTTTTTAAATCAAGACAGATAATGACCATCTTTCCCCATCCCCCTTTTTAGGTCTTGTGTCACATTTTCTGTGTAATGTTACAGACGTCATGGCGTGACGGCGAACGTGCGTACTAATGAGACTAAGAGACTAAGAGGTCACTAGCGACAGTCAGTTGATGACGGTCGACCGGCTGATTGGTTGAACTCTCTGCCTTCGGGCGGGGAGGAACCCGAAGGGCGGATTCTCTTTCGGGGAGGTAAACCGACTCTGAACCCGTTTATACGGGTTCAATGGGCATATTTTTGGCAGAGCCCACGGGCTCGGAGATCCCACGTTAAACCGGCCTTGTGCCACATGATGCCCTCGTGGGGTGGGGGTGACTAAATATCGTTGGTAGATCGGAGAACTGGACGAAAGCAAGCACTTTAATCCATTTCAGTCATGGCAAACGACGGGCAAACTGAATTACCCACACTAATGATAAATAAAGTGTTTATTTCATAGAACAAATATTCATTTTTCAACATAATTTCCTTCCATGTCGATGCAATTAATTTAATGCTGAATAAGCAAATTGCTCGGATATTATACAATGAAAATTCCAGATCAAAGTTCACCATTTAGCTACATGAATGATGTACGGGTAGATAACGGTTATCCGCGCTTTGGGCGTGGTATCGGAGATCCTAATTGGTTGCATTCACTTTCCTATTGCGATAGGATACGCTAGGGGTAATTTTGTCGAATATCCCAGGGCGCTACAAAGCCAAAACATTCACCTAAGAAGTCAAGTCATCTTTTTAAATAACCTAGTCAGATCTGAACTCTCATATAACATTCATGAGACCAAATTCGTTCAGAAATGCTTAATCTCTCAGCTGCTTTCTCAGATCAATGATTAAAATGGCTTTGAGTGAATAAACTCTGTAGGTATTAAAGGGAGATCACCCTTCATCGAA